CATATTCACTTTTGATTAATATTTCCTCTTCGTTATTAAACAGTGAACCATATGCCACACTTTCTTTCACTATTTTTCTAACTTTGTCAAATCCACAATTAAAGTTCTCTATAATTAAATGCGTGCCAGTCTCAAGTAATAGAACCATAAAAAGATAATCAGTTGTATTTTGTGGAGTGCATATTTTATTGTCAATTTTTCTACTAGTAATAAAAAGTTCTTCTAATTTATCGAAAATTATTTGGAATCCTTAGAACCGTAATATAGGTTCCATTATTCGATTGGAATATCTAATACCCACATAGATACCAATATTCGATTAGAATAATTAGTGCCCACGTGGATACCAATCTTCGATTAGAATAAGTATCATATATCTCATACAATCATGTGAGACTATATATCTCATACAACTATGTGATATTATTGATAATCGTATATCTCATACAACCATGTGCGACTATTGATAATTGTATATCTTAAACAATCATGTGAGACTATTGATAATCATATATCTCATACAACCATGTGAGATTATTGATAATTGTATAGCTCATACAATCATATGAGACTATTGATAATCATATATCTTATACAACCATGTGAGACTACTGATAATTGTATATCTCATATAACCATATAAAACTATTGATAATCGTATATCTCATATAACTATGTGAGACTATTGATAGTAATATATCTCATACAACTATGTAAGACTACTAATAATCATATAGCTCATACAACCATATGAGATTACTAATAATCGTATATCTCATACAACCATATGAAACTACTAATAATCATATAGCTCATACAACTATGTGAGACTACTAATAATCATATAGCTCATACAATCATATGAGATTATTGATAATCGTATATCTTATACAACTATATGAGACTACTGATAATCGTATATCTTATACAACCATGTGAGACTATTGATAATCTAATACCTGATACAACCATGTGAGATCATTGATAATCGTATATCTCATACAATCATATGAGACTACTGATAATCATATATCTCATACAATCATATGAGGCTACTAATAATCATATATTACATACAATCATATGAGACTATTGATAATTATATATCTTATACAATCATACAATCATGTAAGACTATATATCTTATACAAACATATGAGACTATTGATAATCGTATATCTCATACAACCATGTAAGACTATATATCTCATACAATTATATGAGCCTACTAATAATCGTATATCTCATACAACTATGTGAGACTACTGATAATCATATATCTTATACAATCATATGAGACTATTGATAATCGTATATCTCATACAATCATGTAAGACTATATATCTCAAATAACTATGTGAGACTATATATCTCATACAACCATGTGCAACTATTGATAATCATATATCTCATACAATCATGTAAGAATACTAAAAATCATATATCTCATACAATTATGTGAGACTATATATCTCATACAATAATATGAGACTATTGATAATTGTATATCTCATACAACCATGTGAGACTATTGATAATCGTATATCTCATACAACTATGTAAGATTATTGATAATTATATATCTCATATATCATCATGTGACTGCCGATTTTTTATGGCACCACTAATCTATTATTAGTTTATGCACGCTATACCTGATCTTAAAATTTGATTGGTCAAAATTAATTGCACTAAAATTTTTCCCAAATTTGGGTGCAGTTTTTTGTTTATTAACTCTCACATTCTTATATAACAAAATTAAGAACTAATACCACATATTTATGTGAGAATTTTAGTCAATAATTAGCATTAGTTTTTCACAATTTATTCTTGATTAAATGGGTATTTCTTCAAATCTTAACTTTTTAATGACAATTTATTTTCGTCAAAATAGCTTAATTTTTATTTTTTAACTTGGCTTATCGCCGGACCACAAGAAACACAGGTCATTTATTTGTTAAACTTTATTTTTAATTCATAAAATTTACCATCTTATTACAAAACAGATAAGGACC